TGATCGACAATGAGGTCATCCTCCCACCCAGCTCTGCAAAGTCTGTCACCGCTGAATTGTTAGATTTCGACGATACTGGAAGTATGTGATCAGGGGTTGGACCACCTGCGGGCGGCGCTCGGTGTATTTCAGATGTGGTGTTTAGCATGCACTGTTGGGAGCATTTTCGAATGTAGTTTTGTAATTTTTGGCTTGGGTGTTGAGTCAGTTCTTTGGTTTTGCTTTGAGTCTGTCTCATTGTCTTGAGTCAGTATTTTTTGCTTAAGGGTTTGTCTTGTTGTATCGAGTCAGTCCCATTGTATAGAATGCCAGGTGATTTCGGGGTTGTTGCCTCGAACACCGTTTTTTTTGTTTTGTAATTATCCTTTTTGCTTTCTTTTGAGTCTGTCTCTGCTGTGAAACCAGTTGCAGCCAGGAAATTCGAATGAAACAACTGCAGCTATCATGTTTCCGTGCTTATTGCTACTTTGAGCTAGTTGTGCCAGAAAATTTGAATGAAACGGCGGAGCATCTCACTTATTCTTCTGCACCTCGAATTTATTGCATTGACCTAAGTTTTTCGAAACTTTCTTAACATTGTGGTGATGAAAACGAAGAGGAAGGAATTCCTCGGGATTTGTAAAACTTTGATCAAATTGAGAGAAAGAGAAGCACGCTATGCCTTTCATGATTGAAATCATGTTTGTTAATGTGAGTACTGAGAAGGACCCTGGCTTGATCCAGATTGGTTCCGCACTATCTTTAGCATGAGCGATTTGTCGCTTTCTTAAAAAAATTTCAAAAAAAAATGTTTTGCGCAGTCCTGCGAAGACCTGTGTGGAATCGCTCTTGAGATTGTGCAACTTAGGATCACTCTCTGCCTCAGGACTTGAGCCCTTGCCTTCAAACCTTGGACCTTAGTTCAGAATGTTCAACGGTCAACTACAGCTTGAGGCCTGCGTGGCCAAATTTGAAGCAGCCCTCGAACAAGAGGCCAAGAAAGTCAGATCAAGAAGATCAGACCTCATCAGAAGAAGCTTGCGAAGCTAGAACAGAAGCACCCCTCGAACTAAGGGCAAAAATGTCCAATGTGCTCGAAGAACCGAAGATGGATCCTTCTGTAAGTCAATACAACAGCCACCCTCCTGGATACGGATGGCTTCGAGATCCTAAAACCATTTGGCATGGACTTGTTACACTTTTACCCTTTGAGAGGCTCACTGGGCCAAAAACCCGGAAGGCCGACCCAGGCAAAAGTTAGAACAAGAAAAAGAAAAGAAAATAATACAAAAAAATGCAAAAAAAAAAAAAAGAATGAAAAGATTTGAAAAAGAGAAGACAAAAAAATGAATAAAAAAAAAGGGAATTGAAAAGAAAAGAAGAATAAAGCTCGCAAGGTTGAAAGCTCGCAAGGTTGAAAACTCGCAAAGGGCGGCCATGGCAAAAGTTAGAGCCTAAAAAGTGAGGGTTAATACACGAGTGTACCTTAACCAGAACTACGTAAGGCTTGATTCCCATGTTTGGGAAACGTAGGCAACTTCATCCTGAAGTTCAGCCACAAACACTTCCAAATCAAGTGTGTCCATGTAATGGTTTCGATCATCCTTGCCTTTTCTTAATCTGATAGTTCGGTTGTGACACAACTGGAACTATGTAAGGCTTGATTCCCATGTTTGGGATACGTAGGCAACTTCATCCTGAAGTCCAGCCCCACGCACTTTCAAAGTGACTGTGTCCATATATTGGTTCTGACCATCTTCCTCTTCTCTGTATCCGAGAGTTCGGTTGCGATCATCACTAATGAGGACTGACTACAGTATGCTGCGGCGTTATCCAGACAAGGGGCAACTTTCCGTTGCCATGAGTCGCCATCCAAACCAGGGGCAACTTTCCGTTGCCGTGCTGTGCCCTTTGGAACAAGGGGCAATTTTCCATTGCCTCCGATCTGAGGTTGTGCATCTCGAGAGTAAGTTTCGTGCTCGTTGAGCAGTGACCATTTGGAAAAATAGTTTTTGAGAATTTTTTTTACTGAGGTTGACTATTTTCTCGAAAATTATTCCATCTTTTCCAAAACTGGACCATTTTTTTGGACCAAAAAAGGGGAAAATTTTCAGTGCTCATAGCCTGACTTGCATGATTTTAAATCAGAAAATCAAACAAGTATGTTAATCTAACTCTCATTTTGGTTAAAATTATTTTAGTAGAAAACCAAAACAAAAAAAAATGGTCAAAATGATGAACTAAGGGCACAACTGAAGCTGTCATTAAAGGGTTGAAAACTCTCTCACCCTCCGAGCAACGAGGTATCAAGCCATGTGCGAAGCACGAACCGGAATGGATCAAGATACTCCACTCCCTTATCAGGAATATCGACTAAACGTCACCGGAGGAAATAGCTGCGAGCTAACAGTGTTGGGCATGAGCCCACAACCTCTTGTTTATTCACCGACCATATCTGGGGAGGGATGAAAAATGAGAGAGTGAAGAATAGAGAGGTGTAAGTCGAGAGAAAAGTGAGCAAAAAGGGGTTTTGAGAGAAAAACCGAGCCTGAGGGCCGAGTGATGTGAGAATCACAAATGAGAAGAGGGTAAGAAACAATACCCGGAGAAACTGGCTCCTCGCAAACTAAGAGGTCTCTTGTCTTTTATAACACGTCTGTTTGTCATGTATTTTGTTTTGACTATCTCGATTCTTGTCTTGAGTCGTCTCGAGTGTTACTCTATTTGTTTAGGTTGAGTGCCTTTTTGTTTTCTCTGTTGAGTCCTTTTCGCTGTGTTCAGTCTTAGGCTCAATACCCGGTTGAAAACCCTTGTTGAGTCGTAGTATGCTGTGTTCAGTTGTAGACTCAATACCCAGTTGAGAACCCGAAAACCCTCTCCTCAAATCATTTGTGCTCAGAGTGCTGTGCCATTCTCCACATTTGTGCAAAGTAAGATTGGTTCTTTCAACAACCGCAAGGTTTAACCCAGGACATGTCAAAACAGTAGAACCAGGACCTATCTGAAGCTTTTGGGTTTTGGATTGCGAAGCGAGAAATTTTGGAGCATCTGAGTGTGTTTCAACTTCTGCAGAGTTTAGATTGAACCGTGTATTCAGAATGAGCAATATGCTGCTGTGGGCTATGAGTTCAGAATGAGCAGAGTTCAAAATGAGCAGTGTTCAGAATGGGCTGTGTGTTCAGAATGACCAGTGGGTTGTATGAGTTGTTTTGTCATTAGTTGGTTCACTACCTAGTTATTACAATACAAGTGTTTGATTTTCAAAAAAAAAAAGAGGAATCTTATTTACATTGAGGTGTAATATGATGCAATGCGATGCGATGTATGAAATACACAAATGTAACACTTTTTCAGGCAAAAAGTTTGTTTCATTTCATCATCTTTTCAAGTACAAAGTTTCGAAGCAAATAAAACCTGCCTGAGGCAGTACAAGGTACTCAAGCTACCAGCAAAAAAAAAAAGTAAAACAAAAAGAAGAAAAGCAGCAAAAATCTGGATCAGCATCGATCATCTCAGGCCTGAGAGTCTGTCCTCGTCCTCTTCCTGGACGAAGGTCCAGGAGCATCATCGTCAGCACCATCATCTGAGCCCGAGTCCGAGTCGTCTCCAGTCTCCTCCTTAGATGACTCTGTCTCTGCCTCTGCCTCGGACTCATCATCATCTGGAACTGGTGCCCGAGAGCTACTCCCAACTTGAGTGCGCCCCACTTTGGTGCGGGGGAATACTTTGCCACCTCACCCTCCTTCTCGAGTGGGAACAGAAGGCCCAGCTGGAGCACCTCCTGCGGCAGGAATCTGGAATGGGGGCTGAAAAGTACAAATGGCAAACGCATCAGTATGCTACGCAAAAGCAAAGTATGAATATCAAGTACAGTGTATGAGTACAGTGTATGAATGCTGTGAGCAGTGTATCAGTACAGAATGCAGTGTATGAATACAGAGTATGAATGCTGTGAGCAGTATATCAGTATGGAACGCGGAGACTAAGTGCAGTGTATGAATGCCGTAAGGGCCGTGTATCAAGTGCTGTGTTGATAGTGCGATACATCAGATTGTGTAAAGTTTGAGTTGGTGGTCAGAAAGACTTACCGGGATACTGTAAAGGGCCAGCAGGTCTAACCTCCGCTGGAGCATCCCCATCATGGAGGCATTCAACTCCAGGACTGGCAAGTGTACTCGGAGGAGGCCTGGAAAAGTGTTAGAAGTATCAGTATTCTGCAGAATATCTAGAGAAATGAAATGAAATGACTGTACAAAATGCAGTAGTGCATACCGGGGGCAAGTCGTAACACTACAACAAATTTGGGATTTAAAGACGAAACAAATTTGTCCCAAAATATATATATTTCGTCACCCAAACTAATTACGACGAAAATTTTTCATCACCCGTTTTGTCGCCAAAGCCTCGTCGCTAAAGGGTCGTAGAGACGAAAAAACAATTTCGTCATTGAAAATGATAAATTTGTGACGAATTTTTTTGTCTCCAATACGCTCTGTTGGGAACATACTTGTAAGTAATTAGCGACAAAATATTTTGTCATTAAAGGAAGAAATTAGAGACAAAAATATTTTGTCATAAATATAAGAAATAGAGATGAAATACTTTTGTCACGTTTAATATAAACGAATATGACAATTTTTTGTCAAAGAAGTTACCAATAGAGATAAAAACAAATTCATCATTAAAAATGATGAAATAATGTCAAAAAAAATTCGTCACACATTGAGGATAATAGTGACAAAATGTGACAATATTTTTTGTCACGACAAATGCATTTAGTGACGAAATAAAAAATTCATGACAAAATTAATCATCCACCTAAGCGAAATAAGAGACAAAAGAACCTTCTTTAGGGATGGAAAATTTTGTCAATAATTTCATAATATTTTTTTCCACATTATATACCTATTTTATCAAAATCTAAATTTTAGTTCAACAAATATAATCCTGTTCATGTTGAAACCTGTTGAATATAACAATTCCATCACAACTTAACCTAACCTGTTATCAACACATTTACGAATTAACAAAATGAAAATATCCATTCATCATCACAAATAATTTCATCCTAATACAATAAAATAGTGAAATATCCACAAAATATCCAAAAGTTATAACTTGTTCAATTTTACCAAAAATCCAACAACAACTAGTGCAACTCCACAAAGTATGTGTAATCTTATCAAACAAAAATGGACATTCAAGCAAATTAGATCATTGTTGCACGTCAAAAATGCCACCCCAATCCAATCTGCAAAAAAATAAATTAAAAGCTTTAGTAATTAATTAATTATACAAAAGATTAAAAACATTAGTAACTCATCAATTTACAATTAGATCAATTATACAATTTACCCCTCTAACAGACTTTTTTTTCGAGATTATGAGAACAAAAAATTAATTTTAAGGCTAATTCACAAATGATGCATCCCATTAATGTGTCGTAAGTTCATATAACTTATATTGGTCCATTTAATTCTTAAAGTGCAAGGATATGTACCAATTTTTCTACTCTAACAGGGATTGACCTAGAACCACACCTGTGTTTTGTATACATCCTTTCTCTGTTCGCAATGTTACCCTTTGATTGCTCCTATAAGAAAGAATGACCAATATAATAATGAAATGTATCATTAGTAAGACAAATATGATAGCTTTTGATTGTTCCTGTAAGGAAGAATGAACCAATATAACAATGAAATGTATCACTAGTAAAACAAATTTAATGCTTGATAATAAAGAATTGCATTGTTCATATCTATCCTTTTCCTATATATCATTTCAACTTAAAAGATGTTTCAAATTATTCACTAGTTTCATTCAATTCTTTGAAATATAAATTAGAGGACTTGTTGAGATTTCATTATAAGATGATTTTTCTGGGTGAAAAAAAAAAACGAGTAATTTACACCGTTCACAATTAGGAGGCATATAAGCATGGGCAAGATAGATTGTGAAAAAATCCATTTACATTTCACAAGATATGGAACAATTACTGATACCAAACTCATATCCCTTTCTTTCTTCCACAACTATATCAAATCTAAAGTTCTGTCTTAATACCCAGTATTAGTTACTCAGCTAGTTGCTTACCATTATCATGAAACTTCAGACCAAACTCAAGAACAAACAGAAAATACAATCGTAGAAACTGAAATCTTAATTCTTTATTCTATGATGTGAAAGATGCATTTTAAGGAATCATAAATTAATCTCCTATTATGTGAGCCTTCCAATCCATGTTTAATAGTTTCCCTTTCTCATTTTGCCACTTATTTGGTTTTTATTATGTTTCACTTACATGCTTAGAGGATAAGGAAAAAAGAATACATGGAATTTCACAGCAAATTGATTGTGTTCTTTCTAGTTTTTTTGAAATCTATCCCTATTCTAATCAAATTTTATCTAAGTTACAAGCAAAAGATTATGAAGTTGCTACAATTCATCCAAATTAATAGCTCTCTGTTGATCTTCTACCTCAATGCTTTCACTACAAGAAAATCAAGTTTTACCAGTGTTTTTTATTGCAGCGGCCCGAAAAATGCTACTATAAATGGGCTATTGTGACAGTTGTTGACCACCATTACAAATAAAACTTTTAGCCGCATTTTTTCCTTAAAGTGTTGCCATATATTTTTTTGTAGTGACGGTTTGAACACAACCGCTACAATAAGCCAAACAAAATAAAGGCGCCAAACAAATTCTCATTTCGTGCTTATCAGAATTATTATTATTATTTTTTGGTGAATACATATCAGAATCAGTCCCAAAAAAACCGTTCAACTCCTTGATTACAATTTTGTGCCCTAGTCCATCAACACTTCTTTCACGAAGTATCATTCAGCCTTCGTTCATCCTCCACCGGTGTATCGACGACGTCAAGCTACACACCAATGTGATTTCAAGGTCAGTCTACTCTCTCTGTTTCTCTTTCTCTGCCTCTCTCGTTCTTCTAGTCTCTCGGTTTCTCTCTTTGCCTCTCTCTCTTTCTTCTAGTCTCTCAATTTCTCTTTTTCTGCTTTCACTGTCTCCGGACAAGTTTGGGTACTTGCCATTCCATTCATATTGCTTCTAATATCTCCAAAATTTCTCTATTTTAAAGGATTTCATGAACATCTTGAATGATTTTGATTTGGGAAAATAATTTTGATTATGATATTCACACACACACACACACATATATTTGATCATCTATGACATTCATATTTTAACCAATATAATTAGTGAAGTGAAATCTCACGCCTCTAATTGTGAATAGCAATAAGGAATCATTATGTATGCTAGGTATTTAACAAAATGCCACAATGGAGTAATAGTGCCTACCCTTTTCTTTATAGGTTTGTTATGTTTTTCTATTTTTGTTTTTGTTGAGAAAATTGTTATCCATGAACTTAAGGCAGTTTGTAATGTTTTATTGACTTAATAATGTGATTAGAGGAAATTCAACATTTATATACACCCTTTTTTTGTTGAATCTAAGAACACAATTCTTGAAGTTACCAGTCATTCCCATATCACTAAAGGCCTTTAGTGCTTCCAATATATGGATTCTCTGCATTACACAAAAAATGTATCAGTATTTACTTGAAACTAACATGAACATGCATATATCTACCTTCTTAAGCTTTAATAGCCAAACTGAAACAACAGAAAGGAAGAGACATTTTCATAATATAGCATTCAAAAATCAAATTATGACATCTTTTTTCTACTATCTAGGACCTCCATACAAGCATTACGAGTCAAAACATTTTAGAATCCAAGATCCTTTAATAAGAATATGATTACCTTTTCCTAAAAGGAAAGTTACTGACCTTTATTTACAATGTAATAAAGAGACTTAAATGTTGCAGTAATCCTTTTTTTTTCCCAAGCCAACAGCCAGGTAATGGTGACTTGGCTTTGGCTATTATTATCCACAACCATCTTCAACCCTCAAGAAGGAAAAACCAAGAAAAAGATTGCTTTCCGAGACAAAGGCCTTCCATCCATTTACTTCAAATATTTTTATCAAAGATGTCACAACAGGGAGACAGAGACAGTCCTAACACAGTGACAAAAGCTGGAATCAACAAGTGAAAAAAAAATCAAATTTTCCAACCAATCCCAAGAGTACCAGGAAAAGTTGGGAAGGTAAGAGTTGCCAACAAAATTCAGGAAGAAGTTTTGTAAAGAACTTAGAAATTAAAGATTAATTACAATAAACAAAAGTGATGGATGTTAAAAAGACATATTTATCACTATGCTAAACATACATATTTATCACTATGCTAAACTTCTTTGATATACTGTAATTCTCAAATGAAGGACAAGGTGGAGATTGTCTTCATGTAAGGGGTCTATAAACTAAATAATAAAAGAAAAAAAGGTTGTAATTTACAAAAAAATTGTTTCAAGTATTACAATGTTAAAGACACATGAACTAGCAGAAAATTGAGTGATAAGAGTAAGAATGCAGTCCAGTACTTAAACAATAAGATTCTTAAAAGGATACAAAACCATTCCATTCGCTAGCATGACAAAAATATAATATAAAATCAAAGTAAATAATTAGCTCTTATTTAGATTGACTCATGGTATACGAATCATACTATTAGACAAAACAAAATGTTAATCGCAACTAGAACAAGTTGTGGGCAAACAAAAGAGAACTTAGAATTAGACAACAAACACCCTAATCCAAACCTGCTATAGTATTCCGAGTGTTTGCTTTAATCCTATATCTCAATCAACATATGCATCTTTTATAATCAACAAAGAAGGAGATAGAGTAAAAAGCTTAGATGCATGAATGAGAAAAATTAGAGATACATCTTCCTTCAAGAGATTGTGAAGTTCGAATTTGCAGTCATCTAGTCTTCTCAGATCAGAACTATCAACAACCCATACCAAGCCATCAGTTTGCTCAAAGTAGTTCCTCCAGTAAGACCTGATTGTCCTTTGGCCCCCAACATCCCATATATTAAGGGTATACTTGCCGTTATCGTAACAAGTTTAATTCCCTTGTATCACAATAAATCACTTTAAAACTTCAAATAATTTTCAATGCTGTGTTGCAAATTAAGTAAAGGAAATAGAATAAGTAAACTTCCAAGGCTCTTTCTAGAGAGGAGGGAAAAGGAAAAGAAAGAGGAAAGAAATTCAAAGCATTGAATTTTACCCAAATAAAAGGAATAGAGCATATCTCCAATCATTCATACCTCAATATTGAGGTAAAAAAGAACTTTATTGACAAGAAAATCATATATAACATATGTTAGTACATCATTAAAAAGGGAGGAGTGTAAAGAGCATCAATGTAAGCCAACATTATCCTAACTAGTTTGACACCACGAGGCTTACCCAATCATTTGTTAGCACCCCTCAATGTTTGTAAGACACCAACAGCAGCCACCAAGAAATAGGGAAATAAAACAGAGCTGCCACAGTCAATGGAGCCTGCACAGCTGGTACTAACTTATCTGTCTATATATGCATTATAGCTTGTTGATGCTATCTGTTAGTATATAAAGTTTGGTTCTTGGTAGTGTTGAATCAATTATTATGTAGTTATGAAGGGTATTTGTGTGCATGCTTATTTAAAGAAGTAATACTAAAAATATTTTTTGTTTTGGTATTTGAAGAAATAAAGAAGAAAGATGAAATAACAAGAAAGATATCACTTGATATAATCACTTGATTAGTTACAAATTTTGATATCACTTGATATAATCACTTGATTAGTTACAAATTTTGATATCACTTGATATAATCACTTGATTAGTTACAAATTTTGATATCACTTGATATAATCACTTGATTAGTTACAAATTTTGATATCACTTGATATAATCACTTGATTAGTTACAAATTTTGATATCACTTGATATAATCACTTGATTAGTTACAAATTTTGATATCACTTGATATAATCACTTGATTAGTTACAAATTTTGATATCACTTGATATAATCACTTGATTAGTTACAAATTTTGATATCACTTGATATAATCACTTGATTAGTTACAAATTTTGATATCACTTGATATAATCACTTGATTAGTTACAAATTTTGATATCACTTGATATAATCACTTGATTAGTTACAAATTTTGATATCACTTGATATAATCACTTGATTAGTTACAAATTTTGATATCACTTGATATAATCACTTGATTAGTTACAAATTTTGATATCACTTGATATAATCACTTGATTAGTTACAAATTTTGATATCACTTGATATAATCACTTGATTAGTTACAAATTTTGATATCACTTGATATAATCACTTGATTAGTTACAAATTTTGATATCACTTGATATAATCACTTGATTAGTTACAAATTTTGATATCACTTGATATAATCACTTGATTAGTTACAAATTTTGATATCACTTGATATAATCACTTGATTAGTTACAAATTTTGATATCACTTGATATAATCACTTGATTAGTTACAAATTTTGATATCACTTGATATAATCACTTGATTAGTTACAAATTTTGATATCACTTGATATAATCACTTGATTAGTTACAAATTTTGATATCACTTGATATAATCACTTGATTAGTTACAAATTTTGATATCACTTGATATAATCACTTGATATAATTAGTTACAAAAAAATTTGATATCACTGTTGCCCTTGATATCACTTGATATAATTACAAATTTTTAAAATTTAAGGATGATTAGTTATTATAAAATTTAATCCACAAATTATATCATCAAAATAAATTACCACTGTATTTTAATCTTAATATTATTTACATCGTGCCTTTAGGCACGGGCATACGCTAGTATATATATATATATATATTATCATTTTTAACTATACAAAACAAGAGGTGAGGTTGGGTTGGTGTCCATATTGCCAGTGAAGTCAAAAAGGAGACAAAACTACAAGCATGAGAGTTAGCTATCATTTACATCATTATCAGTCCCAATGTGACGTAAATCCAAATACACTTGGTTTCAATTACAAAATTTCTTGAAGCTTGTTCAATGCTTTTAATGTGATTCTGTCTTACCTTAGGAAGCAAACTGCAAATGCTAAATTGTTTGCCTTCTAAATAGAATATTTCTGGCCTTTACTATGTTCATCATTACCAGCTTGAATATTATGGGAGTGCAAATGTCGCTTGTTTCTCATATGTTAGTTATTTTTTTCCTCTTCACCCACCTATATATAAATCTCCATTTTTATTTATGATTTTTGTGGGTTGTTGTTGTTGTAATGCTCTTCATTCATTAAACCCCTCAAACTGGGGTAAGTTGACTTTATCAGACTAATTTAGTGGATGTTGAACCTGTTTACTATTTTTATGCATAGAGATAGGCTTTGTTAATTTCATTATCCTCTGCTGCAATCTAGGCTTTCAGAACAAAGGAGAAAGAAACTCCAAGCAAAGGAGGCTGAATTGAGGAGGAGGGAGCAGGTACTTGTTTATACTAATTAAAATTGTAGCTTCCAAATATGTGTTACCTAGAATTGAATGGCTATTTTTTAAATTTTATTTTCATGGACACTTGGTATTAATCTTATTAGTTTTTCATTATATTTATATTATGCAGGATGTTTACATGTACTTCCGTGGCAGTGGCAAAGCAGCAGAGATGAAGCGTGAGGCTGCAAAACGGACAATGATGGCTGCGCTGCCATGATTCAGAAAGATTCTTTGGTTTGATAATGCTGAGAGAAATCGAAACATTCACTATTTTTTTGCACTTGTGCCTAATCTAGTATTTATAAGCCTTCATAAAATCTGCTTAAAATATGTATGTAAAAGACAGATTCTGACAAACAAGTTTAAGCTAGGACATGTTGTGGTACATATGTCCTTTTTGGAAATTAATTTGGTTAGTCCTGTATTATGTATGAAATGAAATTATTGACGTTGGATTAGACTTGGTTCGTATGGAATTTGTATTATATATAGAATTGGACGTTTATTTTTAATGTTTTGGATGGTTGGAACTAGAATGTGTGCACGTTGTTGAATGCTTGATAATATATTTAGCGTTGATGGGTTATATTGGGTTATATTGAATCCTGTGTTATGTACGTACAGGTTGTATTAAACACGGATGTAGGTTGTTTAGAATTTTTTTGGAAAAAAAAAAAAAAAACAGAAAATATTTGGCCACCAAATATTTTGGTAGCCAAATACATAGTTGGAATTATTTGGCTACTAATAATTTAGTAGCAAAAACATTTGGCAACTAAAACATTTGGTAGCAAAAAGTAAGGAATAGTTGGTTAAAATTTTCATATAGAACTTTTAGTGACTAAAAAATTAGTAGCCGAAATGTCACTATTGCCGACTAAGTATGGATTTGTAGCCAAATGTTAACTTTTAGTGACTAATTCTTTCGTAGCAAAAAGTAACACATTCGCCGACCAAACGAATGTTAGTAGCCAAAAGTCACATTCGGCGACTAATACTTTAGTGGCGGAAACATACCTTTTGCCGACTAACACATTTTTCTTTTTGTGAGTGTTTACACAGGCCTTGGGGTTAAAAACCCCCTTTTGCTTAATATATAGTATAGATAGCCTATCACCTGTTCTATGCACGGGATAATTATAGATATTTATATTTGTTTTAGATTTTTTTTAATATATAAATTATGTTTTTTAAGATTTTTTATAAAAATAATTTAACAATCTTATCACTAACCATAGTGTATGAGAGAAGTTGAACAGAGTACTGCAGTAACTATACACGGATTGTATCTATAATTATTTGTATGAAGGGATTTTAAATACTGATCAGAGAATTTTGACCAAATTGATAAATGCAGGCATGTGAAAAGACATGTGGGTTGAAAAAAATTAATAAATGCTCATCAGGGAATTTTGACCAAATCAATAAATGTTGAGTTTTTTTTTTTTTTAAATAAAAAATTTAGAAAATTCAGATTGGGATATTGAAACTCCTACAAGCATTGGGGGTTAAAAACCCCCTTTTGCTTAATATATAGTATAGATAGATGATAGATAGATAGATTTAATAAGAATTTATGTTTGTTTTAAATATTTTTTTAATATACAAATTATTTTTTTTTAAAGATTTTTTTATAAAAAATAATTTAGCAATCTCATTACTAGTCATAGTATATGAGAGAAGTTGAAACGGATGTTAGGAGTAAATATGAGAGAAGTCAAAAAGTGGGTTAAGAGAAGTCAATAAGTGCTGAGTTTTTTTTTTTTAAATAAAAAATTTAGAAAATTAAGATTGGGATATTAAAGCTCTCACAAGGCTTGTAAGTGTTAAACTACATTTTCCTTATAGACAGATATAGATATAGATATAGATTGAGAGAAGTTGAAACGGATGTTAGGAGTAAATATGAGAGAAGTCAAAAAGTGGGTTAAGAGAAGTCAATAAATGCTGAGTTTTTTTTTTTTAAATCAAAAATTTAGAAAATTAAGATTGGGATATTGAAGTTCCCACAAGGCTTGTAAGTGTTAAACTACATTTTCCTTATAGACAGATATAGATAGATAGATAGATAGATATAGATATAGATATGGCACATACCATTTATATCAAGGACCAAAGTACCAGGACAACTTCTGTAATTTTCCCTTATCTAAATTAAAGGGATTTAAAAAGAAAAAAAATTATAATATTAAAAAATGTTCACTAAAAAAATATAGATTAAAAATTACAAATTAATTATTGAAAACTCCATACTAAACAAGGTAATGTTTTCTATTAATTTTGAAAATTAAAAAATTATTATTAATTTTTTCTCTATTTTTTTTTCTCACAAAAAATAGCTACATTAATTATCTTTTTTTTTCCTTTTCTTTTTCTTTTTTTCTTTTTTCTTTTTTTTTTTTTGATGGAGAGGGGTTTTGACTTGCGATTTTTCTAAAATGGGTGTTCTAGACGGAAAGGGTACAGTTGGTTCAGATAATAAGAAAAAGTGCTTATGCAAGAGGTGTCTTTACTATGAGAAAGAATAGTCGATTTTGCATATGATGCCTTCTTGGATAATAGTTTCAATACTGGCATGCATGAAAGGCTTAAGTGTGAGACATATAAGAGGGGCTTTAGTGCGAAAATAGAAGAAATGGTCTACAGAGTGTCTTCTTGCTTCACGACTTCAATACTTGTGAGAAAGGAGTAGGCTCAAGTGCGAGAGCGAAATGAGGGTTTGTAGGTAGTGTCTTCTTGGGTCACGACTTAAGTGTCCGTGCACATGAAAATGAGTGATAAGGGTCAGAGTGTGTTTCTTGGGGTCACGGTTTCAATGCTCCGAAACACAAAACCATAACATATTAATAAAGAGAAATAATTAGTGATAAAATATTTTTGCCTCCTTAAATACAAGAACAATGAATTTATTATTGATGACGAAATATTTTTATCTTCCACAATATAACCTTATGAGACGAAAAATATATTCGTCGCGCAATCAATCAGAATTTATTAGTGACGAAATATTTTCATCTCCCACAACTTATTCTTCCAAGACAAAAATATATTTGTCGCCCATTGAATAGAAAGATGAAACGGCATCGTTTGCATGAAGGAGTGTTTATTGGTGACGAAAATGTTTGTCTCCAAAGAGCTAAAATAATTCGCGCCAATGCAAATGAAATTGGCGGCTGAATTTTGCAAACGAAATTTTTTTTTGTTTCCTATACGTTTGAGAAAAATTAAAAACGACAAAATTAATATTTTGTCATCTTTGGGTTAAATTTTAAGATAAAAAAAAAATTTCGTTACCAAATTTTGTCACAATAGCATAGATTTCTTGTATTTTGTTTCCTTGTTTAATTATTATTATTTTTTTCTTTTTGTGGAGAGGGGTTTACAGTGAGAAAGAATAGTAGCTTTGCACAAAATGTCTTCTTGGATAATAATGTTTGCATGCACAAACAGCTTAAATGTGAGAGAGAATAGAGGAGCTTCAGTGCGAAATAGAAGAGATGGTTTATAGAGATTGTTTTCTCGAGTCACAGCTTCAATACTTGTGAGAAAGGGACTCTAATATGAGAGAGAAATGAGGGTTTGTAGAGGGTGTCTTTTCAGGTCCCGACTTTAGTATTTGTGTGTGTGTGTGACAGTAAGTGATTAAGGTGAGAGTGTTTCTTAGTTTTTGACGACATTTTAATGAAGAGAAATAATTAGTGATAAAATATTTTCGTCTCAAACTCATATGTTCGTTGCCTAATCAACAAAAATACAAAAACAACGTTGTGTGGGATGGAGAATTTATTGGTGATGAAATATTTTCGTCTCCTTCAACTTAACCTTATGAGACGAAAATATATTCGTCGCGCAATCAATCAAAATGTAATACGACACATGGAGAATTTATTAGTGATGAAATATTTTCGTCTCCCAAAACATATCATTCTGAGACAAAAATATATTTGTCACCTAATTAACAGAAAGATAAAACGAGCATGAAGAGTTTATTGGTGATGAAATATTTTCGTCTCCCATAACTTATCCTTCCCAGACAAAAAATATATTTGTCACCAAATAAATAAGAAAATGAAACAACATCGTCTAATAAGTTTAGAATTTATTGGTAACGAATTCCTTTTGTCGCAAAAAACTTTAAATTTTGTGACAAAAATGTTTGTCTCCAATGAGCTAAAATAATTGGCGCCAACAAGAAAAAAAAATTGGCGTCTTTTTTTTTTCTAACGAATTTATTTTTTCATCTCCTATAGTTTTGAGAAGAATAAAAAGAAATGACAAAAGTAATATTTGGTCATGTTTGGGTTACATTCTAAAACGAAAATAAATGTTATCACCAAATTTTAAAAATTAATTATTGAAAACTCCATACTAAATAAGGTAATATTTTCTATTAATTTTGAAAATTACAAAATTTTTATTATTTGTTTATTATCTTTTTCTTTTTCTTTTTCTTTTTTTGTGGAGAGAGGTTTTGACCTTCGATTTTTCTGAAATGAGTGTTCTAGACGGAAAGGATAGAGTTGGTTCCGACAATGAGAAAAAGTGCTTGCGTGCAAGAGGGGCCTTCACTGTGAGAAAGAATAGTGGGTTTGCATAGGGTACCTTCTTGGATAATAGCATCAATGCTAGCATGCACGAAGGGCTTAAGTGTGAGACAGAAGAGAGGGGCTTTAGCGCGAAATAGAAAAAATGGTTTACAGAGTGTCTTCTTGAGTCACGACTTCAATACTTGTGAGAGATGAGTAGACTCAAGTGCGAGAGAGAAATTAGGGTTTGTAGAAAGTGTTTTCTTGGGTCATGACTTCAAGGTCCGTGTACATGAAAATGAGTGATAAGCGTTAGAGTGTATCTCTTGGGGTCACAGTTTCAAGGCATTTTAAAAAACAGAAATGATTAGTGATAAAATATTTTTGTATCCTTCAATACTAGAACAAAGAATTTATTATTGGTGATGAAATATTTTTGTCTTTAACCTTATGAGATAAAAAATATATTCGTCACGCAATCAATTAGAATTTATTAGTGACAAAATATTTTCGTCTCCCACAACTTATTCTTCTGAAACAAAAATATATTTGTCGCCTATTTAATAGAAAGATGAAATGACATTGTTTGCATGATGGAGTGTTTATTGGTGACGAAATATTTTCGTCTTCCATAACTTATCATTCCCAGACAAGAATATATTTGTTGCCTAATAAATGGAAATATGTAACGACAT